CAAAAGAGGAAGATCTAGCATACCTGAGACCAATGATTCATTCTTGGAAGCTTTTCTACTCTTAGGAAAGCTTCTAGTGAGATGATCACCACCTCTCTTAGCTTTCCACATCTTTTTCAAGACTGGAGCAGAACTTTCTTTTAGAAAGTAAAACAATAGGGCAAAATGTGGGGTCATAAGTAGTGAAGCAACAATATAAAACTATAGCCGAGAAACTAATCAGGAACGCTAATAATGGCCTTATGTTAGGGTTGCTTGAGACACCAACAATGATAATTTTTTGGTTGGGGGCCCGAAAGAAGCTGGCCGAATAGCATCATTTCTTAGCTCAATTACCAGCTACCAACTATAGCATGGAGTGCTGACATGAAAAGGCGTTTGCATTGTTACACCTGATGTCCAACTGTATTTTGCTCCCCCAAAACATACATGTAGGGTTTACCACAATCACAACTGAAGAAAGGAGCTCACTTATACCCCATCTTTTTTGGCGCAGGTTGTAGTGCACTGGGATTAAGGTAGTCAGACCTAGGCCTTAAATTACATTGGACAAGATGTAACATGTTCTCTTGTACTACTTAACCTAGACCAGCCAAAGCACCATAGAAGCCGTATATGCAGCCACACAAATGATATGCTTCCTCATTTTAAAGATTTCCTCTTGTCTGTCTAGAAGAGACAATGCAAACATGTAGGGAGGGTTTGTAACAGAAAAAGGCTGGTGGGGGGCAATGGAGCAGATTACATGCGACCATCTAATTGGAAACTTTACTTCAGCGGGTCAACTTCTTGATTAGGTGTGTACAATTTTGGTATTCAAGTATACAACCTTTGTTTAAAACCCGTTTAAAGGATCTAGTATGACTTCAATTGGCCGTCTAATAGTCACCATCTATACAGACAGCATAGAACATTATATTTATCTAATAGATTTTATGCAACCTTTCCAATATTTTCTTTGAATTTCATAACCCGATACGCGTAAAAAAAAAACCGTAATCCAATCCAGCCGCAGGAAGACGAAAACTTGAATCAAAGTAGTTAATCCATTGCACAACTCCAGTCCATTTCAAATTATTCTATTTCCTCCACCAAAATCGTGCAGATCTAAAGATAGTACAAGAAGGCAACTTACCTTCCTTTTGGGCAGCACAAGAGGCTGGCCAGCGTCAGCTTGGGTGCCTTGGCTGCTCGTCTCGCGGGCTTCGGTTCAACGGCGGGATCTTGTACAGCCGGCGGACGTACGAGGCGGGTCAGGCGCCGTGAAGCTGGGCCGGCTCGTGGAAGGAAGGACGAGCCTCCACAGGCGACGAGGAGGGGCCGATTTTCAATGGCGGCGATGTGGCTCGAGCTCCAGCGGCGGCGAAACCCTTTTGTTTTATTTTTTTTAGGCAATTTTGTTTGATGACAGGAGGCAGGTAAAAAAAAATTTGCGGGGGAGGAGGCAGGTAAATAACTCCAGAGTTGAGGGCTACTCTGGTTTCTCCAGTCCGTGGGAGGCCCAAATAAGGGGATCAGCGGCCTCAGATTTTTTACCATTACAAATTAAATGTTTTTCATGATAAATTATATTGTTTGAGGATGGCCAGTTTAGTTGGCGAGCATGATAAATTCGTATTAGTTTACTAGTATTATTTTTTTAAAATTGTCAAGCTTGCAAATTAAATTTTCCATCATCACACCAATATAAATTTCCATGCCTAAAAAGAAAACGTTGGCCACCCTAAAATACTTGCAGACTGCTTCCAATTGGCACACGATGTGCCTTCAATCGCTTCAAGAATCTCCCCCAGGAAGCCAATAATTTGGCACCATTTCTTGCTTAGACATGCTTATGATTTGAATTTGATGTATTGGTGGGATGATGACCCTCCTAACTTTCTTCTCCCGCATGGTTGAAGGATGTAACTATTTTAAACCAGCAATAAAGTGCCAAATGGATTTAAAAAAAACACGAGGATAAAAGCTGTAAAATGAGTTTCCTGTTTGAGAGGAGAAAGTTGCTTCTTTTGTTGTTGAACAAAGCCAGAGCTATGTCTTGTCCATACTGATTCCTAGCTTACAGACGAAGCGACTATCAGACCAGCCAATTAGTGTAGGTCGCTCGCTGCTGCTTGTGTCCCTATAGGTTCGCTCTGCAATGTTTTGTTTTCTTTCATTTCTACCGGCTTTCTTTGGTTTTTCTTTCTTTGGGTTTTTTCATCACTTTTCTTCACTTTTCTTCGGGTTTTCTTCATTATATTTCAGTCTTCTTTGCTTTTTCACTGACTTTTTGTTTTTTCTCTCTTCGTAATTCTTTGATTTCTTTGTGTCTTTGCTTTTCTTTTTATTTATTTGTCGTTTTCTATCGGTTTTGTTTTTTAAAGCATGTCTATTTTTTTTAAAAATATGTACATTTTTAGCACATACGTGAAACTTTTCTTCGACATGTGTTGGAAATTTTCTAAATATATGATGTATATTTTTTAAATACATGTTGTGGATACTTTTTCGAATACACGGTAACATTTTTTAAATATGTGCTGTATATTTTTAATGATAATAAATAGTTTTTAAGCTACGTGGATTTTTTCACATTGTATGAACATTGTAAAGTACATTGTTTTAATGGAAATAAACATTTTCTAAACTACACAGAGATTTTTTAAAATGTATAAACGTTTTCTTAAATGTAACATATTTTTTAATCATACAAAAAATAGTTTTACATTATGCAAGCATTTTTTTCTACATTGTATAAACTATTTTGAAATGGAATCGCATATAAACTTTTGAATTTTGGAACATGTTTTAATTGTCATGAACATATTTATTGAAAGTTATCAACATTTTTTAAAACTATGCTAACATTTTGTTATATCATGTCAATATTTTAAAAATTCATGATTTATTTATTTTTTGTCAAATTTTCGTTTTGGAATACATGCATTTTTAGATTCTTTTCAAAAATTTGAGCAGTAGATAATAAACTAAAAGAACAAACGACTGGAAAAACAAAGGAGAAAAACTAACAAGCCTATGCAGGAACCTAGGCCGGCACAACAGTCTCGCGCTTGATTCACCCCGTGAACAAGCGGTGCCAAACAGGGCCATATGAGGTTAGCAAATTGCAGCCATCGGATTGGTACCGGATGGACCGGAGCTGAAACCTTTTTTTTAAGTGGGGAGATTTTATTGATTAGGTGGATTCACCCGTACAAAGTCTCACTACAATCTCACATGGCCCCGAACGCAATGAAACAGCAGTGCAAGGGGAAGAGCGAAGCGACCTAGTTTAGCTCTCTTTTTTTTTTTTGAGGATCAGCTCAACTCTCTTTTAATGACAGCAAACGTATGGTCTCTACCAGAGGCAAGTAAGCGTCGAACCTCGCTGACAAGGGCCGAGACAGGCGACCGACTCGTAGAAGAGTCGCTGGTCATGGTAGCAGCGACAGTGCTATCCGTCTCCAGGATAAGGGGAAGCTGGTTACACTCTACCGGGAGAGAGACACCCTCTGTGACACTCCAAAAATTTTACTTTGGTTTTTAGCAAAAACTTTGTGGTTTTTGAAAAGAGGCTATTTAAAATTTTCTAGAAAACCTTCCTCTTAAGAAACTTTCTTTTCTTTGGCAAGGTTTTTATTCTGGCTTCAAACTTTGGTGTTTGACCTTTTGAAACTTCTTCTCTGTTGGTTCTCTCTCAAAATTATTTTTGGGAGTTTAATCTTTTTCTTTTAAAAAGAAACTCCATGAAATTTGGGATTTTCATATCTTGGAACCACCATGACTTGGCATTCTTGCCCATGTGGTAAAACCCCTCCAAAACCTCCCCTACAACTTGTGATCAACCTAAATTCTCTGTCCCAACTAATCCAAACTGGTTTTGGATTTTTATTTCAAATTATTTTTCCCTCAATTCAATTCTGAAAATTATTTGGAGCCTGAGAGATTTTCAAAGCAAGTGCCCTATTGCATTTGAGTTTTGACCTCAAACCAATTCTCCTGGATTGTCCTTTGAACCCACAACCCAGAACCATCTTGATCCACTCCTCCTCTTTTCAAATTTTTCAAAATTCAGTCTCTGCAAGTTTGGACCAGATTTGCCAAATTTGGTGAAATTCATATCTACACTCCTCTAAAAATTCCACCAAAATTCAGGCAGCCTATTTGAGCAAGGAGAAGCCACTCCACCAAAAATCAGCTCAAGGAAAAATCACCAGAGGCCAATTTCATTCGGTCGAACACCTGGTGGGCACTGTTACTGTTCATAGTTCAGAAAATTCAGTTTTCAGTGTCATCTTCAGTCCGTCAGTTTCAGTCACGCGGCCACAGTGCCCTTGGCACGTTCCTCGCCGCCTCTTCCTCTTGTCCGAAGCTGCACACGCGTGCGTGGAGCCTTCCTGGCGTCGGTAGCGCGCTGGCTCGCCCTCGCCGGCGTCTTCTGCGGCGTCGGGACCTCCCGTGGCGGCCGACAGGAGGCACACCACGGCAGAACGTCGTTCCGCGCCGCCCATCGCTCCCTGGCTCTCCGCGTGGCCTCATGCACGCCAGCGCACGCCCGTAGCACAGCCACTGTGGCCGGCAAGCACGGAACGCGCTCTCCGCCGCCGACGGGCCCGCACCATCACCGTTCCGTCGAGCTCGCCCTTAACACCCAAACCCCGGCCAGTTCAACACAAAAACGGACCCGTTGGACCTCCGTGATGATGCTCGACCCCCTAACCACCCCGACCGAGCACTGCGCCACCGTAATCGCTCGCCGGTGATCCTCGTTCACGGCAACTGCCTCGGACCGCCTATATAAAGGGGTCCCGAGCTCACTCTCGTGCACGCAGCACCTCCACTACTCACCAACACCCCGCCAGGCCACTAGGGGGACCTCGAGGAGGTCTCCTCCCCCAGCTCCGGCCGCCTCGCCCCGCCTCGGCCTCCAGCTCGATTCACTTCGGTGAGGCCACCTCCGGCGCCCAAACCTCGTCCGTAGCCCTCTCTTGCACCCAGTAGTCTAACCCCCACCTCAATTTAATCTTTGCAGCCCTCTCCGACGAGCTCCATCCACGCCCGAACCACCGTCCGCCGGAGTTGAGACCGCCGTCGACGTGCTGCTCACCGGCGACCAACACCACCACCCA